GACTTGATGAAATTAACGTCTAAATGACCCCTCACTTGCTCTGGTGCTCTTGGGAGGTGTTGATCTTTGGGGGATTTAAATACTCCAAAATTACCATCTCTTTTAAGGGTCTGAGCGGTGGTGCAGAGGGTTAAGGCGTACCTGTTATGCCAGTTGCTGGAAGGCTTCTGTGCTGGCTAGGGTTCGAGTCTCCTGGTGGGAAAGTGTTCTAAAGTTGTATACTTAACTCTCGTGTTTAGGAGAGTTGTGCCTTAAGCAGAGACACTGTGTCTTCCCATATTAACAGGGACTTGATGAAATTAACGTCTAAATGACCCCTCACTTGCTCTGGTGCTCTTGGGAGGTGTTGATCTTTGGGGGATTTAAATACTCCAAAATTACCATCTCTTTTAAGGGTCTGAGCGGTGGTGCAGAGGGTTAAGGCGTACCTGTTATGCCAGTTGCTGGAAGGCTTCTGTGCTGGCTAGGGTTCGAGTCTCCTGGTGGGAAAGTGTTCTAAAGTTGTATATATATATATATATATATATATATATATATATATATATATATATATATATATATATATATATATATATATATATATATATATATATATATATATATGTATATATATATGTATATATATATGTATATATATATGTATATATATATGTATATATGTATATATATATATATATATATATATATATATATATATATATATATATATATATATATATATATATAATATATGAATATGACCGAAAAGGTAAGATTAATAATTCTAACCCGAATTTTCTCAATATTTCTAATGTTTTTCTTCACTGTCTGGTAATAAAAATAAAAAAATTCCAAAATTCATTTTTTAATTGTCTGACGCCTGAACGCGTTTCGTAATTCGTATTACATTTTCAAAGACTTAATTTACACACAAATTCTTCGTACTTATACTCTATTGGATGAGGTGATATTGTACAAAAGTTTTGGGTGTGGTGACAAACACAAGACAGAACACGAAACAATGGGTATAAATTGGATAAGTGAACATATGAATGGAAGTAACTGCAGAAGGCCTATTGGCTCATACTTCCTCTTGCTGCTTCCATACTGGTTCGGGGTCTTGAAGTGGGTAGAATGTAGTTGTGCATTATTTGGCTGTTGATTGCTGGTGTTGACTTTTTGATGTGTAGTGCCTCGCTGATGTCAAGCCGCCTGCTATCGCGGTACCTATCGATGATTTCTGTGTTGTTTGTTAAGATTTCTCTGGTGATGGTCTGGTTGTGAGAAGAGATTATATGTTCCTTGATGGAGCCCTGTTGCTTATGCATTGTTAATCGCCTGGAAAGAGACGTTGTTGTCTTGTCTATATACTGAGTTCTTTGGGGGCTTACAGTCCCCATTTGGGCATTTAAGGCTTAGACGACGTTGGTCACCTTTAAGGCGTTCTGCTTGGTATCTGGAGAGTTTTTCATGAGTAGATTTGCCGTTTTTTTTGCTTTTATAATAAATTGTTAAATGTATTTTCTGATTTTTGTCTGTAGGGATAACGTTCCTATCAACAATATCTTTCAGGACCCTTTCCTCTGTTTTATGAGCCGTCGAAAAGAAGTTCCTGTGAAATAGTCTAATAGGGGGTACAAGTGTTGTGTTGGTTGACTCTTCAGAGGTTGCATGGGGTTTCACCTTTCTATTTATGATGTCTTCAACGAAACCGTTAGAGAAGCAGTTGTTGACTAGGACGAACGGTATGAGAATAGCTTGAGCTACCTCATCCCTTTGTGGGTATTTATACCTCAATAAACGTATTTCAATTTAAATTTCAAGACTGTCACCAGCCTCACCTCCCATTTAACAAAGTCTACGAGCCCCGTATCCCCACCTGCCGGTCTGTCCATTACACCTCACCCTCTATACACAGTCCACACTCTCACAGCCAGTATACTGCCGCAGGGGAAGCCCTGACCTTCGACGCATCAGGTAATAACCGACCATTGTTGCTGTTAACAGGAGTGTGTTGTGACGTCCAGGTGTGTTTGTGAGCTTACCTAACTTACCCGTGTCTCTTAAGGGGAAGTATAAGATTTAGCTCTATTAGATTTACATTTGTCGATGTACTAATGCTGTCATACTTAAGCCTTAGCGTTATGAATCGAGGTAGCTTCCACAGCTTCTCGCACAACTTGTATATAATATGATGTTGGTGTTGTTAAAGATTCGCTACTTGGAACAAAAAGTTCTAAATATCACGGGCTATAGTGAGCCCGTAATGAACCTTTTTTGTATATAATACTTGGAAGGTTCCTATAGTCAAAGTCCTGAAGATTATTCTGATATTGACCAATTTGGTATAAACCTTTAAAGCTGTTCATATCAACTTCCAGGTATTTTTCCTTACAGCACATATTACACAAAAATATTTGGATTCGTTACACGATTCTTAACATACGAGGGCACAAAGACCCTGGGGGGGGGAGGGTGGAAGGGGGGGGGGAACAGCCCAAATGCGCTCGGAGGACATAAAATCACTCTCACAAATATAATTTCTGGCAGCAGCGAATATCAGTTGGCTGCAATTTATTGAAGGTCCTCGATCCTATCATGCAATTAAATAATGGTTTCCAATTTTATTACCAGAAGGAATTTGCCGCCGGGTAGAATTAAAATCAAGGAAAAAGATTGAATTTTCTTAATATTACTTTGCTGGAAAGTTACGTAAGCTTTCAGGGGTTGTATGAAAGTATAAGAGTGGTCAGGTGTTGAGAGTTTGGCCAATTTTCAGGTGTAGCAAGTTTGGAGCGTCTTCAGATGCAGAGGTAAGATCCTCTCGCGCGCTCTCCTGCACGCACACTAACAGGTTCTCACACAGGTTCTCGAGGCCGAGCGGACAGCGCTCCGGAATCATAGTTTAAAGGCCAGGGTTCCATCCTTGGCTCAGACAGAAACAAAGGGCAGTGACTTTCAATTCCTGGTTCTGTTCATCTAGCAGTAAATTGATACCTTCGAGTTAGACAACTGCTACGGGCAGCTTCTCGAGGATGTGTGTGTGTGTGTGTGTGGGGGGGGTCCTGATTAAATATATGTAATATATATGGTAGATAAAATTTGGACGGGATTCGGTAAATTAGACATGCAACGATTAGAAAGACGGGGTCCAAGAGCTAACAGCTCAATCCTGCAGATACCGATAGTAAATGCAAATAGTTAATTCACACACACAAATCTTATGCAGTCTCCTTGCAATCTACTCTCCAGACAGCATTTCATTCTTACGCCAATGACTGGAGCATCTGCCGACAGGGATTACGGTTCGAAGAGGCTGGCACCGCTTGGAGGTGGTGAATGAGATGAGAGGGGAATAGAGTGAATAAGAAAGAGAGAGACGAGAGAGAAAAGGCAGCAAGAGACGAAGCAGCAAAAAAAACTAGTATCAAGTGTTGTCAATTACAGACAAAACTCTTGAGGCGATAACCTAACAAAAAACTACAGAACTTCTTGACCCTCACCATTTACTGTGAAGTGGACAAGATAGTCACAGGCAAGGTCGTTCTGCTGCTGATCTCTTGTTGAACCTCTCCACCAAATGGCTTCAGTCTCTGGACGAATCCCAAGACCAGCTGCGTTGTTACGCTGGACACAGACGGTGCTTTTGACCAGAAATCGTTAAGCTCTAAAGCACTTGGTAACTCAGGTTCCATTCTACCGTTAATATCGGTCTACCTTCAGGAACGGACTGGCACAGTTGGCTACAGCTTCAGCCAGTAACCAACACCATTGTAGTTTTCCGATAGGTGTTTTTATTCCTAACGGCAACTAATAGTAATTTTATACCAGCCAGGAGTTTTTAGGGTCAGGCATTAGATAAGCTGATCAAGGATAACATCAGTAAAATCTCAAATGAGCTGTAGTGTGTGAGAGAGAGAGCGAGCGAGAGAGAGAGAGAGAGAGAGAGAGAGAGAGAGAGAGAGAGAGAGAGAGAGAGAGAGAGAGAGAGAGAGAGAGAGAGAGAGAGAGAGAGAGAGAGAGAGAAAGAGAGATTTGTGGTTTTCTTGCACCGGTTAAACTACTAAACACTACCTCAGGCTCGGCCACTCTCAGAAGGCTTCATCTGCTCCAGTATTGACTTTCTGTCTGCCGTGAGAACCTTCCGTTACCTGCTGAAGTTGTCTGCTGCTTCCCTCTCCCGCTGGACTATTAGTTACCTTTCCTCACCTGGCAAAGTGTTTGCTGACTGTTTTAAAATTGTTGCAGCTGTCTGCTTGCTGCCTTCCTCCTAGAATATTTATTTAAGTTATTGCTCCTATTCATACTAGTTCAGCAGGCTGAGGGTACTATTTTACCCGCTCATCTAAATGTTTCCTTCCTTACTACTATAAGGAAGGAAACACACACACACACACACACACACACACACACACACACACACACACACACACATATATATATATATATATATATATATATATATATATATATATATATATATATATATATATATATATATATATAAGGGGAGATATGGAGCCAAGCATGTTGTTGTTTTAGATTCAGCTACTCGGAACAAGTTGCAAGTAGCACGGGCTATGGTGAGCCCGTAACTTACCTGGCACAGGAGCGGGGTAAGTAGCACGGGCTATGGTGAGCCCGTAGTGGACTTACCTGGCACAGGAACGGGGCTGTAACTGGTGCCAAGCACGTATCGCAAGCGGAGAGAGAGAGACGTGAGGTAGAGAGGTTTCGGGAGTTAAAATGTGACCTTGGCACACACTGCTTATCTTTTCATTCTGCCAACATCTGACCAGCCTATGTCCGTCTGTAGCCCAGACCATTTCCCTTGCAAATGTTGGTGAGGCTCGCCCCAAACGTCTGGCCTCCAACCTTGGATAGCCATTTTACTTTGTAGATATAGATACTTCGCTGCCTACTACAGTTAACACCAATGGAGCAGAGGAGCATTTCAACATCCCTGAGCAACATTTAATTGCTGTTTGATACAATATTCAGAACACAATTATTTTTTTTAGATCGCCCCGATATTTTACCCAACCAAAATACTGTTACAGTTTTTGCTCAGAATCATCAAGCAGTGCTAGCACATGCCATGTTCTGTCAGTTGCAGCAAAGGCATGACGTGAATGCCTTTCAAGAGCCAATATGGAATGATATGAATACCACACAGGATCCAACACAGTATGCCATGAATACCATTCAGGATCCAACACAGTATGCCATGAATACCAAACAGGATCCAACACAGTATGCCATGAATACCAAACAGGATCCAACACAGTATGCCATGAATACCAAACAGGATCCCACACAGTATGCCATGAATACCAAACAGGATCCAACACAGTATGCCATGAATACCAAACAGGATCCAACACAGTATGCCATGAATACCAAACAGGATCCAACACAGTATGCCATGAATGCCAAACAGGATCCAACACAGTATGCCATGAATACCATTCAGGATCCCACACAATATGCAATGAATACCATTCAGGATCCCACACAATATGCCATGAATACCACTCAGGATCCCACACAGTATGACATGAGCGCCACTCAGGAGCTCAACACGGCATGACATGACCTCGTTACAAAAATTCATTGGCAATTGAAACTTTTGTACCAAATCGAACTTCTCCAATCGTTTCCCGGCGGCCACCAGCGCCCGCGGACTAACTACCACTCGAGAACCCCCGTTGGTATTGATTCTTCATCTCGCCTTCCGCGTCACCACTTGGGCAGCTCCAGCCATCATTCTGGCTTTTAATATCGTTCCCTTCCCAGAACGTCATTCAAGTTGATACACACCTGCTTTAACGAGTGCGGTTTAAAGTAACAGCTTTGAAAAACAATCTTATATTCAGCCTAAGTGTCAGGGACTGGAATAATAATAATAATGTTTATTTGTACAAATTACGCATTAATTATATTGTATGTATACATGGTACTGAATTATTAATATTATTGTTTAGGTCGTTAATCTTTCACAACCTTTCCAGCAAAAATTTTAAGCTCACGTTCCAAGTTTACATCAGTATAGAAATTATTAACAAATATATAAATTGAGAAATTTAGGGGTAAATAATATGAATAAGGTGAGAGAGAGAGAGAGAGAGAGAGAGAGAGAGAGAGAGAGAGAGAGAGAGAGAGAGAGAGAGAGAGAGAGAGAGAGAGAGAGAGAGAGAGAGAGAGAGAGAGAGAGAGAGAGAGAGAGAGAGAGAGAGAGAGAGAGAGAGAGAGAGAGAGAGAGAGAGAGAGAGAGAGAGAGAGAGAGAGAGATTAAGACAGAGTGAAGGCCATTCCATATCCCTGTTAACACGATAACAAATCCTGCAAGACTTAGGATAATCCTCAAGTGAGGCATCTGCACAAACTTCCTCCCCGTGAGGAATGATCCTGGCCTAACCCGAACTCTTTTAAATTAATAACACTAAGAACCTGCTCAGTTATAAATGAGAGCTTCCGCTAACTATACCATGAGCAACGAAGATCAGGCCGAGCGAGCATTCAACTACGAAACAATATCTGCGACTCGCCTAAGACTGTGCTATGTCGCGAACTGTATAAAAGCGAAACGTAATTACAGCGACCAGGCATCGTCGTGAAAGAGATCAAACCAGTAAATTCCAAGAAAATCCTCGCACCAACTTTGCCGGGAGGAGGAAACTTGTGACTAAAGCCTCGAGGATGGTGAGGGCCAATACGCCATCTCTCTTTGTATCACAGCAACGGAGTTTCCAATTGTCAGATGGGCTCGTTAAAGGCATGGGAGAGATATATTTTAGGAATGTGCGGCACTGTCAACGATGTGTGTAGAATTGTGGATGTTTTGAAGGATGTGCGTAGAGAGGTGAACATCCTGAGAAGTATGTTTAGGGATGTTTCCACCGTGATGACTTACTGTTGTGTACAGCGCCAAGGTGATGTTAGGGATGTGCATCCTGTTTGGGGGGGACATTTAAGGGATAAACTTACTTTGTCAGAGATTATATTTTTCAATTTAAAATGTATATTTTTTAACATTTAACCTTTATTTTTATACTTGTTCTTTTACCACGTATAGTAATTAAAATAATTATAAATTATTAGTCCTCAAGGACCCATTTGTATTACAAATACACAATTCGTTAAACAAAATGGAACCAATTATAAAACTTGTTAACTTTCGAAATTTGAAATTAAATGTTCGATGATAAAAGGAAAAGCAACACCGAAAGAACCCACCAAGACAGTAACTGTATTTGCGTAAATGAAGCCATTTTGGCTCCTGCCATCTCCTATATCAGACTTACTTGGTGGCTAAGTACACGGTTCGTATAGGGTAAGTTGCCTTGCGTTTTAATATTCATCAGTTTTCCTTGAATATCCAAAATAAGTCACACTACACCTGTAATTTCACTCAGGCTGTCGTGCTGAGCGCCAGAACATTGCCGCCAGAGTGGCTGAGGCAAGTGCCTAGATCACCAGCACCTCTTGACTGGCAGCTGAAAGAGTTGTCTGATCTGCAGACGCATATCGATATACTTATATATCATCCAATTTCCTCGATACACATCTTTTGTTATGCCTCTATAATATTCATAATACACACACACACACACACATATATATATACATATGTATATATATATATATATATATATATATATATATATATATATATATATATATATATATATATATATATATATATATATATATATATATATATATATATATATATATATATATATATATATATATATGCTCTTCCTTTCTTCTCCATTTTAGCACCCTTCCTCTTACTCTGTCCTAATTGCAAGCCTTATCAACCCTTTTTGTGAACCACGCCGCTTTTCAGCGTTGGCAAATATTTGCACAGGTTAAGCGGCTTAGCTAGAATGGTTTGTCAGGTAATTGATGCCTTGAAGACGCTAAGGCGGCGTTCTGGTGCCCTCCGGAGGGGTTGTTCAAATGTTTGGAATTGTTAGCAATTTTTTGAAAGCGGGTGGTTAGTTTATTTGAATTTATAAAAACACAAAGAGTGGATTTATTAGATAAATTTTTGGAGAGTGTTCCTACCAACAAATATTTGTAATTTGTAAGAGAAACGCCGTTATAGAAGCTATTAAAGGAAAAGTTTATGAAGTCGAGTGCCGACAAGGATGTATTGGAAATTTGATGAAGTCATTCATTATCGGAGAAGTTACCTACAAGTAAAGTCAGCTCTCACCTTGGTGTTTCTCAACCAGGATTTTATCCACGTAACAAAATTTATAGTAACATTGTTTGTCGAGCTTATTTTCTCGCTTTATTGATAATTCATGTTACGTAAAGGCTGATGGTAAGATTGGTAGCGTAATCATTAAGTTTTGCTGATGCTTGAGAGTTGAGCTGCTTGCAGAGTGATAGACGTTGTTGATATCATGATATTTTATAAGGCTGTGATTACAAAAGAGGATATTCATAATTTCGGCTGACGTCATCTACTATGTGACTAGAGTTAGGATCAATCAACAGCAAGACGTGACAGGGTAATCACCCTGCTGGTAAATGTATCGTTTAGTGAGAGCCTCAAGTGCTACCCCAGAAGTAGTCGCTTGATGCATGCAGGTAATAGAGGAGCGTACACCTCTTCCTGCTCAATCAGATAAAGTGCTTGCACACACTTTAATTCCCACACACACACAAGATAGACACATGTAGAACACACCACGAGCTCACTTTCAATGAGTTGCTTTCAAGGATGAAGTTCAAGTTCCATTACCATCTATTTTTTATCATTTTACCTAGAGACATGTTATTTTAAACATACACCTAAACCCCCAGTTAACATGTTGTTAAAGATTTGCTACCTAGAACAATGTCCCAAGTAGCACGGGCTATGGTGAGCCCGTACCCAGTTAACAGCAATTAGTGGACATTATTGATACAGAGCATGCGATCAGTTTCTGTCACCTTTTATACCGTATTGGGTTGTTAAACATTGCTCAAGAGTGGCTTCCATGTGTTTACCTTTGTGTGGGTGTTCGGCTCACGGGAAGACAATGCCATGTGCCGGAGAAGTGAAAGAATACAAAACAAAATGGTGGTGAAAGGGGAAGAAAGTTATTATTACGTTAGACTTCGAATATTTACGTTATTTACGTTAGACTTACGTTATTATTCATACGTAGTAACTGTATCTGTTTACTCCTTTAAATTATTTAGTTATTCATCTACTGCAAAATTCAAGTCATAAGACCCTGCAAGATATGGTGATGTGAAAGCAACAGGAAAGTGAGGAGTTACTCCGGCACTGTGTCTATGCACTCCGGCAATACATTTCTGCATATTGCCAAAATCTGTGTCTCTTCATTCTGCCTGTGTCACTGCACTCTGGCACTGTGTCTGCACGCTGGTACTGTGTCACTGTACTCTGGCACTGCCTGTGACTACACTATGGCACTGTTTGTGTATGTGCATTATGATACTGTCCGTCTAGGAACTATATCACTGAGTCAGTCTCTGCATGCTGATACTGCCGGAGGAATTGTTTAATGAATGCAAGATTAACATTTAAAAAATAACTTTTCCACTATACACAATCTTGTTGATGGCACAAAGTCATGTTAAATTCCTTAAATGAGTACCTTGAGCGGCATCTATATCATGAGTCATTCACAGCGGATTTTGGAAACCATGTACCAGCTTTCCCGTGTTAGATATTGCTTTTCAAATGCAATATAATTTGAATTCAAAATACATTATTCTTAAATGGATATACATTTACAATTCATAAAAAGACATTATTAATTTATATAAGAAAAGGTATAAAAATTATGTACTGTATAGTAACTATGGTAAAGTCCATGATAGGAGACTCAGTAGTTGAAAACCTTTCCAGGATGCATGTATTGCATCCTGGAAAGACCAAGGATCTTTCTCAGGATGATCCTTGATCCTCCTTATGCTCACATCCTCCTGTGAGTCGGAGTAGGATAAGCCTAAAAGGCTTCCTGTCCCAGATTATGGAAATCAAAGTCAAATGTTGCCATAACATGAAATTGCGAATATGTCACGTGGAATAACACACCATGGGACAGTACGTGCCCGCGTACCAAGTTCGTGTTAGGATGGTTGGTGTTAGAGTGAGGAGTTCCACCCTATACCTTACCTTGAGGTGCTTCCGGGGCCCAGCGTCCCCGCGGCCCGGTCGTCGACCAGGCCTCCTGGTTGCTATACCTATGGAGGGGTATTGTTACCCCCCCTGGCATAACAACATGCAATGTAAAGTTGATGTTCGCGCAATACCGTCTCAGGGCGACTAACTGTTGAAATCATCTACAATGGGGCTCGGCTATATTTGATCTGTAGTATATATATATATATATATATATATATATATATATATATATATATATATATATATATATATATATATATATATATATATATATATATATATATATATATATATACATGCCTTGTTTCACCAGCAATGGCAACTGTGTAGATGTGTATGGAGATGAGCTACCTGAAATATTTCAATTGACTAATTCATATCATGATGCTAACCTCAAGGTGGAAGGTGATTTAAACACCAATTTTTCTCGACAG